TTTACCAACATTTATTCAACCAGTATTTTGAACTATTCAATCAATATGACTCGCAATTCTTTTTTCGAATGTTATATTTTTATGTAGGGTATAATATTTTATTAGTTTTTATGCAAAAAAGGGCCGTATAAAAAGTGTATTGTCATATATCTTGACCTTGCCAAAGCATTCGACACAGTTTCGATCCCCCAAACTCGTGGAAAATTTGATTTGCGTTGGTGTTAGGGGTATGTGCTCGGAATTTTCATAGACTTTTTGACCAGTCGTAGTCAACAAGTCAAGATTCACAAATATATAAGTGCAGAGGCCACAGAAATGTACGGTATTCCCCAAGGCAGTATCTTTGGCCAAGCCTCTTCCTGGTGAATGATTTATATCAAATGACATCAGGTAATAGTAAGATTTTTATCTACGCTGATGACATCGTTCTGATATTCCGGGAGGAGTCTTGGAATAACGTCAAATTGGTCGCTACAATGGATCTACATAGAATCTATAATAGGCTTGGAGATAATTACCTCACTCTTAATATAGTAAAATCTAAATATCTACAGTTCTCTATAGCAAATTTGGGTCTGGCTGATAAAGACATGAAAGTTCATTCATATGATCTATCCACAGAAGTATCTATCGCAGGGTGTGAATTGTTCATGCCTGGCAATTTCTAAAGTTCCTAACATTAAATATCTCGGAGTACAAATAGACAATAGCTTAAAATTCAATTCACATCTCGATCTCATTGCTACTCGTCCGAGGAAACTTATTTAGGCTTTTAAAAGACTGAAGCTTATTGCTGATTTCGATTTTTTACGATCTGTTTAATATACTTCGGCTCAGTCTCTTCTTTCTAATTGTATTACATGCAAAACCTTTTTGATACATATAGAAAGAGCACAAAGATCACTCCTAAAAATTGTGATTTTTAGTCATCATCTAGGCATCATTTAGGCATCCGACTAGTTTGCTTTACAAAATTGCCAAGTGTCAACTGGCAGACAATTGTACGTTCAACAAATGATACATAGGCAACACAAAGTTACACCATATGATAAAGCTACTTATAGTAGCAAACTACAATTACTAACATATACAATTAATAACAATTAAAACACTACAATTAATAACAGGTACCCCTGTTAGATGTGATTTTAATTCACTTATATAATAAAAAATAATTAAAGTAATCAATAAACATAGAGGATGTATATTTCAACACGTGATGCTAAATACAAGTAAAAAAATTGGCTATTATCTCTTCATTATAATGATACAGAAACATTACTCGACTAACAGAATTAATATAGGCTGAGCTATTATTAGCCTTTGTTTCCCTCAAACAGACTGTCAATATTGAAGATTTTCAAAGTATAACATATCAAATATTCATACACACAAACACGCTTCGTACAAACACTCATCACACACACTCTCTCTCTCTTTCTCTCTCTCTCTCTCTTTCTCTCTCTCTCTCTCTCGCACAGCCACACAGTTTCACTAATTTATTAACTCTATTGTTTTTGTTTCCACTTCTTCGTCTTGTTCTTATTAGTTCATAATTTATATCACGTGGATTGATATGTTCTCTAAAACGGTAGAGAAACGTGTCTGAAACTCAGGTTTTATATACCTACCTCAGATGTCAGGGTGCTCATCAAAATGAAATCTTGTCTCTTTGTGAAAATAAAGAATTATATTATTATATTTTGGAGAAAATATTATTTTTAAGTACCATATTTCTAAACTATCATGTGACTCACAGGGTCAAAATAACCGTGATTAGGTATTCTTTAATTTTTTCGTTATCTGTTAAAAATAACATTGGAATGGAATGGATGGCTAGAATTTGTATAGAGCCATTTTAAAACAAAAATATTCTTGTACACGATTTTTTTTCAATCTAGTTTTGTTTACCAATTTTTTGTTTTCTCTTTAAAAAAAATAATCACGAAAGTTAAAACAAAAACTTTTGTCAAAGTTCATAAAATAAAATTTGTTGGAGTATTTAAAGTAACTTCATAAAATTTCTTTAGCTCAGAAAAGATACTTATGTTTTAAACAATTGTAATTATTTTATTTGTTCTAATAAAACACCATAGTAAAAATAATATTTGACGCTCTTTACAATAATACCAATCAATTATTGAAGTGATTCTTAGGTAACCTTTATGATAAAGTTGATAAATACATTGCTGGAATGTTTAATATTCATGTATACAATATAGATTGGGTTTTCAACAAGCATAAAAATATTTAAAAAAACAATCGAATTTCTAAGGACCGCAATCTATGAGTCTACGATGAAAATGCAGCTCTACTCTTTAGATATGGTAACAGAGTTTTCAGTTTCCGAGTAATGACCACAATAACTTTACACAATAATGACTTCTGAAGACAATAATCATCAAAAAAAATTTAGATTATTTTAATATTGTTAAGTAAACTTATAAGGAAATTACTAAATAAGAATTTTTATTTAATAGTTAATCATTCCGGGTCTAAGCTAGTTCTCTAAGTAGCTGTCCAAGTTAAAGTGCCATCAGAAATATTCTCCTTCGATGACCGTTTGTCTTCAGTCCATCAAAACATTCCCGATTCCCCAGTTATTACTAAATAAGAACCAGAAAGAGTTTACGTTGATACCGTTTACTTCGGCCATCTTTGAAGATATCATGTCAATTCGAGTGCTTTATTCTTTATACTTACATCTTATGTATATTAAGTTCTTATATTTACATTTTTGGGTTGTACTTTCTTCTTTCTACACCTAAACTGATTCACCACCACACAGGAGTGATCGTTTTCAACCTTTCCAGGTTTTTGTACATCAGAATGTTTCGGAGTCGATAATCTTCCAAATTTTGTTTTTTCCATCTGCATTTTGACCATTCACAACAATATTTGAATTTATTTATCTTATATTGTAATCAACTCCTGACATTTTACGTGTCTATCCATGTTTTATTACAAAAATTCAGTTTTGATGGCAAACAATTTCCAAAAAATTGGAATTCCTTTTGAGAAACATAAACAAATATATGTATTGCAGTTCGGTATTAAGATAAAAAATCATAGTTCTTAAAATTTTCTCCGAATATATAAAACATAAGTACTTTTAGTAAAATCTATTATTTTTTAACAATGTGTAATTAGCGTATTCCACGTATTTGACCTTAGTATTCTTTTGTATTAGACTTTTAAGTTCCATAAACAATTCAGATTGGACTGATACGCTACATTGCTGTACAAGGTTTTAATAGGGATGATGACTAATTTTTGTTTGTTTGTTCGTCAGGTAGAGTGTTTTAAAATATTAAACATGTATTTTTTTTATTTTTTCGTAATAATAAAATTACGGCGTTACATTGAGTTGAAATTTCGCATGACGTCACGTTAGAGTACGTTTTCTACTCAACTGTGACGTAGCGAGCCCCCACTCCTCAAATTTAATTAACAAGTTCACCATCTTCAAATCTACAAAACCGGCCATTGAAGGTCAGAGTAATTAATTTTTTGCAGAACCAATTTAATATTTTGATATTCTTTAGTAAGTATCGTTGAATGGGCAATAGGGTTTGATGCAAATTGATTTTCATTGTGCAATAAAACGTATTTTAAACTCTTTTTGCAGCTGTCAATAAAAAGTCGCCATTCAGTAGATTTGTATTCACTTAAACCTATGTTTTGAAGTAACTCCGCGATATTATTGCAGTAGACAAGTTGTTTATTTTTACAAAAAAATAATATTTCACTTTTCCTTTTACTGTACGCTGTAATCATTACATTTGGTGCCAATAAATTATTTTCTTTTAACCTGGAAGCTAACAGTACTTGTTTTGATAAAATTAAATCTCGTATTAAATCGCTTAGTTTAATCCGAGAAAACAACTGTGTTGCTGATATTCCATCATCATATTGACTTCCACTTGTAAATTGTACTGAATTGTAGATTGTACCAAATTAAAAAAAAATCTAGAGTCAATGAAATATTTTTTATGAATATATTCGTAAACTGGGTACTTGAAATATATAAATCTACAGAAATATCCAGGGCAACAAAATATATTTATTTTTTTTGTTGAGCTGTATAATCTTCTTACTATAAAACAATAACAAACTCTATTTGAAATTTAGGATTTGTTATTAAGAGGGAATAATTTTAAACAACTATCAAATATGTTTTTTTTTCTGATAGAGAAAATTGTCTATGATTTGTTTAGGACAAAAACAAAACAACTTTTTTTTTAATTAATGTCAATGTAATCTCGCAGGTATTTTTTTTATTACATTTTTTATAATTTAATACAAAAGTTTATTTAATATTGTATACCTTTCGGTATTTTAAAAATTGTTGCCAGCGACTACGGATAATTTTATCATTATATTGATAATTACGAACCCTCTTAAGATGAAATATTATAGCATCTTAACCGTCCGTTATGAGTTTTACGTAGGGACAACGAGATATAACCCACCTTGCGGAAACATTACAATGTGGAATGTGTTAACGATTGCAGATGCAGCCAGAACCAACGGCTTAGCGTGATTTCCGAAACGCGGAGGAGCTTCGCAAAACATCTCCATTTTGGGTCATCCAATTGACGATTGAATAATGCAGATCTAACGCACAAATAATTGAGTGATCGTAAATTAAACTTAGTCAAACGCCAACTTACATAATTGTAAATGCTCCGACTGAGCAAGTAATAGCCATAGCACTAGCGATAAGCTTCAAGTAGAACCATTCATTTGGTATAACCAAAAGGCCACTGCATACAGCGCTTCCTAAATAGAAACCCATGATAGTAGGCTTGCGACCAAAACGCTTGTATAAGCAACCGCTGATAAGAATGCCGGGTACCTGGATATTGTACAAGTTTATTATTATACGATCACAAGTTAACTTGTGTAAAGTGAAATATTTGCATTAAACTAATATCAATTGTCTAGATATTGTCAAAGAGAATTAAAATTGTAACAAGTTGTAGATAAAAATGAAAACCATTGCATTTGATATCGGCTCATTCTTTGTTTGCACATAAAGTATGGGTAGAATGTTTTAAATTAATTACTACATATTTAATGTCAACAGCTATTAATCACCTGCAGTGCTCCTGCCAACATGATGCTTAGAAATACATTACTACTAGTTTGACCGATGTATTGACTGCCTCCATAGAGGCTTATCCCCAGACAGAACCAGGCAATGCATGAACACAGATTCCGCAATCTTAACGTAGGATGAGTGAAAAATACCAAATAAGTCACTGTAGTAGTCTCATTCCTTCCACATTGCATCGATTGTTCTCTTGAAATATTTGTGGCAATTTCTAACGTGTCATTGTCTAACTTCAAATTATTGCTAAATAAATAAAAAGACTGTAAAGTGTTTCATAATTAAATAACGCCATAAAATTGTGAAACTAAAGAAATAAAAATTCACTTACAATTTTGCTACTTTTTTCATAATCTTACTTGCTTCTTTCAATCTTCCCATAGATATTAGCCACTTTGGTGATTCCGATAACAAAAATATGTTTAGGAGAAAAATCAAATTTGTTAAGCCCAAACCGAAACTAAATCTCTTCCAGCTCCTCAAATAGTACGAGAAAAGTGGTAGTATCATCTGGCCCACTGCGAATGGCAAATGGTAAAAAGTGGTCACAATCTCTCTTTTCTTCGACCCTATAATTTCAACTGTCAAAACGAACGTCACCGCCATTAAGCCCGCTGTCGATGCTCCCAAAAACAGTCTGATGGCTGTGAATACCCAGTAATTGGGGCTAAACGAAATTGATAAACTTAATGTAAGTTGTATGATGCTTGCAAATAATATAGCCGGTCGTCTTCCAAACCTAAAATAGGAGAAATCGAATATTAATATTAAACTAAATATTATTTATTTAGCCGAAGCTGACACAAGCATTTGTGAGTTTCAAAAACTACTTTTTCTCTCTATTTTATTTCATACAAAGAAGTCTAATTGACAAAAAAATACCATAAAAACTGTTGCTACAATGCTACCATAAACAACGCAATTAGCCTATTTATCATTCCATTTTTATTCATTGAAGATTTGAAGTCTACATGAAAGTTGTTTTTTTTTTAATTGTTATTACATAAAATTGTAAAAGGCGGATATCACGTATATGCGAATGATAATAATCACTTACCTGTCAGCCACAAATCCAAAGAAAATACTGCCTAACAGTACACCAATCATTAAAACCGTCTGAGAAAAATTTACCATCCAAGCTCTCTCGCACACGAGATCCCATTGTGAAATTATTGTAATTTCAAAATCCGTAACATAATCATATTTGCTACAGTCACTGTAACACGTGTTATTAGATATATCCCGAGTTGAATTGGCTCTTTCTACGCATCTGAATTGAGTATTCGGTGCCAAGAATATTATTCCCAGTAATGTCCAAGTAGCGGACAACTTTGCAGGTACACATAAAAGAAGCACCAAAAGGAACTGCCATTTTCCAAATTCACCAATGGTTTGTATTAATTTATCTTCAACCGGTTTTTCTTCGCCCATATTTGTTGTTAAAAATATGATTTAGTTTTATTATAAAATTAACATTATATCGAGTTTAATTACAACATTACAATCCTGCATCTAGATTTGCACTGATTTATCTTATCTGAGTAAGTATCAAATCATTCTGCTTTAATAAAACAAATATAGATTTTAGAATTTATTATTAACATGTTTTAATCTTATTTTTACGATTTACCAACAATTTGCTGCCGATGTAGACATCGTATATAATTAAAGTGGCTGTATATGTTTATCTATGATAACAGAAATTATTTAACAAGCTGTATTCTCTGATCTGTCACATAGTTTAATAATCCGTTATAAAGCGCTGGTTCCTATATAGAACCAAGTGGTGTTCTGTTTTGATTAACTAATATACCTTTAATGCTATTTTTAACAGTAGATTGCCAAAATTGGTGTTTCGAGTTCCTCTGTGTTTCGGAAGCCACATTAAATCGTTAACACCCAAAAATCTGTACTCCGATGTTGAGAATGATTTCTGTGTACTTTCTTTGCATAGTACTTAAGGAGTCATATAACATTTTGTATAATATTCTCCTTTTTGTCCTGCGTTGACGTGAGCTGTTGTTTACTACGTGGACGGGTAGACAGTCTTTTTTATTTTATCATATTGTTTAACTATATGACTAGGTATCGATCTTCTGTGTAATATTAAGTATTATTTTGTAGGTTTCCAAGTTCTTTACATTCATTACAGGCTTTCCTTATGTATGTAAAAAATGTAGACAATGAAACATGCATCGGACTCGGACCCAGTGACTTACATTATATCGCTTTATTTTCATTATAACTATAACAAAGCCCCGATAATATAAGAAACTAATACTTTAGAGTACCTACATATTATCGTTATTACTGATGGAAATCAGGCAGGCGTTTTGTAATTTGATTTGAATTATTTTAGAGTAGGTATCATCAGGTCATATTTAATAATAATAAGTATTGAGTATTATAACCGGCTAAACCGAGGAAAAAAAAAATAGAGCATAACACAGTCAAATGCTTTGGAAAGGTTTTAAAATAGACCAATACATGTATTTTGACCTCAGTTCAAATTTGTTTTAATATTTTAAAAATCGCTAATGTGGTATTTTTTTTTTGTTTTTGGAACCCGTATTGATTCGAATTCAATATGCTATGCTTCTCGAGGAACGACATTACTCTACTATAAATCACATTTTCAAATAACTTAGCAAAATTAGATAATAATACAATGGGCCTGTAGTTTAGATGCTTAATATTTGATAAAAGTAAATTAAAATATTCAAAAATAAAATCAATCAAATGTTTCTATAGCTATGGCAGTATAGCTATCGCCTCTCTCGTTAGGCAGTTGCTATCCTAGTGCTAAAATAGCTAGTGGCGGCAGCATGAAACAAACTTCTAGCGATTGCTGAATATAAATAGATTTTTTTCAATCGTTACGAAACTATTTTTGGACCTGATTTTAGAATGTAAGTGCAGTTGCAGTTATAGATAAACCAATAACAGGCATTGATCGCCTACTGAAATAGCATAGCAATCATCTGTACTCCGCATACGAGCCCTAACAACTTATGTAATGTTGCACTAGTCGATAAACCAGAGGCAGTTAATAACCGACTAATGAAAATAAGCACAGAAATCGTCCGCACTCCGCGTGTGGGCCCTATCGACCAATGAAAATGAGTCTTTTAGGTACAAATATAAAATTATCATTACACGCATATTTAGAAGTTGTATTTTACACTCACAGCATATTTTTTAGAGTTCGTATAGAAAAATTTGAACTCTTATAGATTCGTCATATTTGTCTGTCTGGCTGACGCCAGTATGTCACATTCACAGCCACTTTATATAGTAAGTCTAGAAACAAAATGCGACTGTAAGATGCAAGCGATGCTCAAATACGAACTCATAATACTATTGAGCCGCGTCCTCGCTGTCACGTTCGGTACTGTGACGTCACACGCTGAGGTACCGAGTGAAGCGAAATTGTTCTAGCGAGCGCAACTTCAAAGTCCAATAAGTTTTTTATTTATGTAAACATTAAATAATATTTTTTAATTGGCCATCTGACAGTACTTACATTATTGGACTTCAGCAACGCATTTATATAATACGGTCGATTTCGATTAGGGTTGCCACCTTTTTTTCTCCCAATTAAAGTACATTAGTTATTATAGGTACAAAAACAAAGTAAATTGAATCAAAATAAAGTATTATTTATTTTTCTTTATTACTAAACTTAAAAATACATTTTCTTTTTATTTATCTATTCAGTCTCAGACCAAATAAAAAGTATAGACGGAGTATTGCCTAACAGAAAAGTGAAGCCGACAAAACTACGCCTCGGCGTATTCGTACACAGTTTCACGCACACATACAATACGGTCGATTTCGATTAGGGTTGCCACCTTTTTTTCTCCTAATTAAAGTACATTAGTTATTATAGGTACAAAAACAAAGTAAATTGAATCAAAATAAAGTATTATTTATTTTTCTTTATTACTTAACTTAAAAATACATTTTCTTTTTATTTATCTATTCAGCCTCAGACCAAATAAAAAGTATAGACGGAGTTTTGCCTAACAGAAAAGTGAAGCCGACAAAACTACGCCTCGGCGTATTCGTGCACAGTTTCACGCACACATACATAACGAAACTACGCCTTCCTTATCAGTCTAACTAAAGACAGTGTGCGGAAAGTTTCATTATAAAAAAAATCAAAAATTTCTTAGTAACTGCCGAATTGTGTAGTAAAAGGTTGTAGAAACCAATCCTCAAAAAATAAAAAGCAGGATGGAATCACATTTTACACATAAGTATTGAAGAAAACTTACATTTTCAGTAATTCAAAAATAAAATTTAAGTAATTGCTTGGAACACAAAATATCAGCCAAATATTACCATCATTAAACGTTATTATTTACCCCGAAATCAGGTTTTAAACTTTAATTTTATAACGCGTTATTTCTAACAAAACACAAATTACGTTATGTATTTTTTTTTTGTTGTATGGAAATGATATTTATAATAAATTTTGCATTCAAAATGCTACATAGAGGTCCAGATGACAGATATTGAAGTGTTGGAATAAGGAAGTAAAAAATAAAAAACTGGTTTAATTTTTTTTACTAAACGGGTTTGCAAACATTTTTTCATTTCCAAACCGACATCAAAATGTGAAAGAGAAGTGGATTTCAGTCATTCCTAATAGTCGAAATGAACCTTCATGGAATCCAATTCGCGCAACGTAGTTTGTTCGACTCATTTTAAGAGCGATGATATGTAGTTTACTATAAAAGGGTTACGTCGAATAAAGCAAAACTTATATCAAAGGTTTCAAACTTTCTATATATTAAAATTGTACTTAACATAGTGGAAGTTTTCAAACTTAACTTAAAAATTAATTAAATAGTCTCTCTAATGTATGACCTCCAATAATAATTACCTGTTACGGGAAGTATTTAGTCGTAATTGAGTTCTGCTCTGTGCGGCAGCTAGTTGTCCTTGTTTTGCACTCCGTGCGAGGGTTATTTCTTCAAGTATTCGTACAAGTAAAAAAGAGACACCTATATTGCCGGTGTCTTTGCTTGAAGTGTATAAAATTTACGAATAAAAATGTACGGGAATTATTTTTTCGTAACGCACAGAAAGGTAATTATTTTACAATAGTGCGATACGGGAACTATTTGGCCGTATCCTTAACCCCGTACCGCACTGAACGTGCGCACACGCGGAGCCTCAGTTAGTCGTAGTGCTGTGCCCAGTTAATACGTTTTTACAGAACGCAATATTTTATTCGTCACGCCTGAGTACATAAATTGTATATAAACAATGAAACGTTCACGTAAAAAACTTATTTTAGGAGAAGAGGTAAAGACAGAAGGTAAAGAGGCTAGAAACCTTATTATGCAGAGTTCTGGTTCTAGTTCACTGAATCCCAAACCTTCTAGTACAAAAAAGCCCAGTTCAATTTTTTTAAGTCCATCAACCGGAAGAGAATTTCGTATATTAGAGGAAGTAATAATTAATAAGAATAAAAAGACTGATCCTGATTCATTATCCCTGGACAACATTTCGGTGAGTAATTTAGTACCAGCGCTCGAAACATCACTGAATTCTGAAATGTTGTCTGAACTGTTGTCAACACCCGAAGTAAGTTTTCAAGAAATGAGTTTTCACAGTTTAATACACCAACGTGTTCTACATCTAGAAATACCGATGGGAATATTAAAATTTACCAAACGCCAACTTCAAAACGTACAGCTGTTCAAATTGGTGGTTATGAAGAAGAAAACTCACACCATGCTAGTGAATCCTCGCCAGGAGCTACCAAGCAGGTAAAACTTTCAAAGGTTATTATATCCGACATAGAATCTGATGATGACGAAATTTTTGATAAAGTACCTAAAAGAAAAAGGAAAACTATTAGAGAAAAGCAGTCAGATCTTACCACAATTGATAACACAGATACTACTCACATAGAAGCCGAACAAGTACGACAGTATTTCGTTTCATCTAATAGTAGAGAAAAAAAACATGAGGTACCTAGTAGCTTTCAAGTAAATGTAAATATTGACCACTGCTCTTCCGGTGAGCCTTCAGTTCATGATGATTGCTCTAATTTGGACAATACTTCGGATTCTGACACATTCGACGAAATATATGATAGTGAAACTAGATCAAGCTCTTCGACTGAAGTAGAAAATATTGTAGAGGATGAAGATGAATGGACCGATATTCCTAATACAATCCTAACAAATTTTGCATCTTATCCTCTTAGGAGCCAAATAAATATACCACCAAATATTCAGCTAAGTAAACCCATTGACTACTATAGATTATTTATGACCAATGAACTTATTGAAACAATGGTAGTAGAAACTAATAACTATGCAGAGGAATATATAAATTCTCACGCTATTAAGCCGAAATCTCGCTTGAAAGACTGGCATCCAGTTACTTTTGAGGAAATGGAAAAGTTTATGGGAGTGTTGATGGTGATGGGTATTAATAAACTACCTAATCTGCATTTGTATTGGTCCAAGAAAAAATGTTATCGTAATGA